ATATTGTATAAGGTCGTCCAGCTCGACTCCAGTTCCTATGTACAGATCCTTTCAGCTCCGCATGTGATCTAATCCAACCCATGCTACTAAAATGTACTAAATATAGTCAATTGACTGATCAAATCCACGCATCTGTTACATGTTAGCAAGCGTATTTTGCACATGTTTTGTTTGTGCAGACATTCTTTGTATAGTCTGTGTATCTATCCATCCTATTTCATCCTTGTATCTGATCTACATTTCCTGCAGTGTATCTATGTTTGTCTATTTATCTGCATATCAATTTACCAATTTATTCACAAACCAGCCTCTCCATCTATCAACCCTATTGGATCATGATAAAGCATCGCTCTATTGACTTCGTCTTGCCTTGCACTGTCATGTCACATTACGAAGAGTGAGGGAGATCGGGAGAGAGAAGCAGACGGCCGGCCGGACGGACAGACAAAGAGGCAGAAATCAAAATAGCAAAGACGTGCTCCTCTATCCTTGAAGGACACGCCATTAGACTACCAAAATATTCAAAAAACTAGACAACATTCCCAAGCATTTTTTTAATGTCTCGGCAGATTCAATCAAAAAGCCAAGTCTTTTATATAACGCCGAGACAATGCTGACACTTCTGCAAGACCTTGGTGTCGGTCATGCTGTGTCTTCACACTTGGAGGTCCAATTCAGGACAAAGAAGCGCTCCAAGTCTAAGCGCTGCTTTGGTAGTGCGCTGAGGCCTGGCAAAGTGTCCAAATGAATCTTAAAATATTCGAAAACATGGCCAAGCATAGACGTTGTTTGAAGTTGACTTAGGTTGATAAGGATGAATGATACCAACATGGCAGTCACTTAGATGTTCTGAACAGGCTCTGGGAACACCCACTTTCTAATAAGAAAACACACGTGTTGCCAGGGTGAATACGAAACGATCCGAATTTTTATTCTAGTAGGCATTTCGGAACGGATCCAACTTTGAAAAAGGTCAAAAAGGATCAAAAAGGGATCAACGGTTGAGCTTGTATACTTGAGCGATCCAGTCATCAGCCCAGTGTTTTGTACAAACATTCCATAAGGTCCACAAGCTCAAAAGGATGTTGGAAGAGTGAAATTTAGAGAATATCACAACAGAGCTGTTTGCACATGCACAGCAGACCACAGCAGATAGAACATGCCCGAGCTGTTAGGCCTTACCATGCTGACTGGGAACTGCCACCTCACGAGGTGAGGATAGGAAAAATTGTTTGGAGCGCCAACTACTGTACTTGGTGTCCTCCATGGTGCAACTCCAGATTCGTGGATATACTTTGTTACACGATGTTGCATATTTTGCTTGCGTGCACATGCGTGCACGCAAGGAGTGGAATGTTTGTTGACCTTGTTCACAAGACATTTGGGAGCATCTGGGAGCCAGCTTACTGTGATGATCTGTGATGGGTTTCCGATGGTTTCCGGCTCGATCCAGCAAGACTGCAGAGGTGCATCAGAATGATATACTATTGCCATCTCTTGCCTATTGCACTTGATTGTTTAATATTCCCTCCCAGGCATGATGCGAATTATCATAGTATGCCTTTGCACTGGCCTGGCTGCGGGCAAGACCCTTGAGCCCTTTGACACTGACTTGCACTGGTCTGATGTTTCCCCTCATTACTTTTATTATCCCCCCTCTTAACATTCATAAAGTGGGCGCCGCCCGGGGGGCGCTTTCCGGGGTCACTTTATAAGGATCCCAGTTTTTCAAAAAAAAACTGATTTTCAAAAGTGGGTGCCAGGGTACCCTAAATGTAAGTACAATTACCATGTTATAATTTTCTCATAATTTCTCCCTTTATAAAATGATAATTCATGGGTCTGTAAGAAAACCAAACCCAGGGATCACAATTATTAGTGTTTTTTTCACCAAAACCCTTATAAAATAACGATTCGGTTTTTAATCTGTCTAACTGAGTATACGCATTTCATAAGAGTTGGAGCAGGTACCCCTTATAAAATGATAAAATGATGCGTGTCCTTGTCGTTTGAAAATTGCGGTATTACCAGCAAAAACTAAGAAAAACATACCCATATGAATTTGGCTTTCCAATGTTTTTTCATGTTTTTTCTTATGAAATGACCTCAAAATCTTATAACATGGCAATTCCATCAAACCCATTAAATTCCTTGTGAACACTTTTTTTCCGTATAAAATGATTAAAATGATTGGTCTTGACATGAATAAACAATTGTCATTTTATAGGGTTTGTTTTGACTTTTTTTTTGCGTCGTTGCACTGCCATTTTATAGGGTCCTATAAAATGCCGTGCTGCAAAAGGTCATATATTTTATGTACCTGTCGTGATTCCCATTTTATAACGTTTTTCCCGAATGCGTAGCAAGGGTTCCCGCTTCACTCTGGGGGTCGGGGGGTTGAGGGTGTGTTCGCTCGACGTTGCGTTTACGTCTGCAACCGTTTGCAACCGTCCGCAACCGTTCGCAACCGTCCGCAACCGTTCGCGTGAGGGCCGTATGGCCGTGCCTATGGTAAGTTCTGCAAAAGGGTCACTTTTGGATGTTTCCAGCGTCGCGTAGCTGCGTTTTGCGTGGCAGGCGTTGGACTTCGTGACATTCAGACGTGTTTCGTAACCTGTCGAAAGTCGTTTTGTGTGGCAGGCGCAATACTTTGGCGACGTTTTCAGAAGATGCGTTGCAGTTTTCGCGGTAGGCGCAGCACTTTGGACGCGCCCATCGTCATTTTGCGTGGCAGGCGCAGCACTTTAGACGTGGCGTGTTGCGTGCTTTTTGCGAATCGCATTGTCAGGGCTGCGTCAAGTGGCGACAAGGTGCAAATTCCGTGGCAGGCGTGACATTTTGTGAGATGTAATTGAAAATTGACGGAATCCTTCCACAAAACATCGAGCTTGAGGTCGCAAATTTTCAGGTTCATGAGAAAACTCGTAGGAAAACGTCGATTTTGAAGATACGAAGTGTGACAAATTGAGGAAGTCTCGCACGAAATGCTCGCTTTGAGCCTCCAACATGTCTCGTCTCGATTCTTTGGTTTTCTTGTGGCATCGCCGTGTCTATGGGGGAAGCTGCAAAACCTCTCCTTGCCGAAGGTTTCCAAGCAGGTTGTCATGTCGTTTTGCTTGGCAGGCGCGGCACTTTGTGACATTCCAACCTGTTTGATAACGTGTCGAAAGTCGTTTTGTGTGGCAGGCGCAATACTTTTGTGTCGTTTTCACAAGATGAGTTGCAGTTTTCGTAGCAGGCGCAGCACTTTGGCGAGCTTTGTCATCATTTTGCATGGCAGGCGCAGCGCTCCAGACTCCACACTCCAAGCTCCACACTCTACACTCCACCCTTGACACTTTACACTCACAACTTTACATTCCACATTTGACACTCTACACTCCACACTTTACACTCCACACTCTAACTCTACACTTTACACTCTGCACTTTACACTACGCTTTTCACTCTACACTCTAAACTCCACACTTTACACTCCACACTGAACACTTTACACTTTGCACTCGACACTGTACACTCCACACTTTACTCCACACTTTACACTCCACACTTTACACTCTACACTCTACACTTTACACTCTACACGTTACACTCTACACTTTACAATCCACACTCGACACTTTACACCTCGCACTCCACACTTTACTTTTTACACTTCACACTTTACAATTTACACTTTACACTCCACACTCTACACTCAACACTTTACACTTTACACTCCACACTGTACACTCCACACTTTACTCCACACTTTACACTCCACACTTTACACTCTACTCTCCACACTCTACACTCCACACTCTACACTCTACACTCCACACTCTACACTCCACACTCTACACTCCACACTCTACACTCCACACTCTACACTCCACACTCTACACACTACACACTCTACACTTTACTCTCCACACTCCACACTCCACACTCTACACTGCGCACTCCACACTCTACACTCCACACTCTACACTCCACACTCAACACTCTACACTTTACTTTTCACACTCCACACTTTAGAATTTACACTTTACACTCCACACTCTACACCCCAACCTTTACAGTTTACACTACTCTCCACACTCTACACTCCACACTCTACACTCTACACGCTCTACACTTTACTCTCCACACTCCACACTTTACACTCTACACTTTACACTCTACACTTTACACTCTACACTTTACACTCTACACTCTACACTCCACACTCTACACTCCACACTCTACACTCCACACTCTACACTCCACACTCTACACACTACACACTCTACACTTTACTCTCCACACTCCACACTCCACACTCTACACTGCGCACTCCACACTCTACACTCCACACTCCACACTCTACACTCCACACTCAACACTGTACACTTTACTTTTCACACTCCACACTTTAGAATTTACACTTTACACTCCACACACCCCAACCTTTACAATTTACACTACTCTCCACACTCTACACTCCACACTCTACACTCCACACTCTACACTCTACACGCTCTACACTTTACTCTCCACACTCCACACTCTACACTTTACACTCCACACTCTACACTTTACACTCCACACTCCACACTTTACACTCCACACTCCTTACTTTACGCTCCACACTCTACACTTTACACTCCACACTTTACACTTTACACTCCTCACTCCACACTTTTCACTCCACACTCCACACTTTACACCCAACACTTTACACTCTACACTTTACACTCTACACTTTACACTTTACACTCTACACTCCACACTCTACACTCCACACTCTACACTCCACACTCTACACTTTACACTCCACACTCCGCACTCTACACTTTACACTCCACACTCCACACTTTACACTCCACACTCCTTACTTTACACTCCACACTCCACACTCCACACTCTACACTTTACACTCCGCACTCCACACTCTACACTTTACCCTCCACACTCCACACTCTACACTTTACACTCTACACTTTACACTCTACACTTTACACTCTACACTCCACACTTTACACTTTACACTCCACACTCCACACTTTTCACTCCACACTCCACACTTTACACCCCACACTCTAACTCTACACTTTACACTTTGCATTTTACACTCTACACTTTTCACTCTACACTCTACACTCCACACTTTCTACTCCTCACTCCACACTTTACACTCCACACTCTACACTCCACACTCCCCACATTACACTCTACACTTTACACTCTACACTCCACACTCCACACTCGGCACTCCACCTTCTTGCGCATGGGGAAAAATGTATTGTTCAAATAACTTGTTTCACAAAAGTGTTCTACGTGACTGCATTCGGGTTCGTTGGCTGCATCGTGTTTTTTTGAGAATTGCCATTTTATAAAGAATTCTTTATAAACTGGCCCCCCCCCCCGGGTCCAGGGTCAATCAAAAGGAGGATCTTTTATTATCGTTTATTCATGTTGGACTATGTTTGGCTGCTTTTTGACATGTACAAACCATTGCTGGACAAGGCGTCCAATCGATTCGTAATTGCCACTGCGTTGCCCTGAGTATATCATAGTATATCATAGTATATCCTCCATAAGATTGAGTCAGGCTTTGTAGCGCATGTGATTTCTGGTCGATAAGCAACTCATCTTGGACCCCTGCAGGTGTGATGGGCGTAACTCCATCGTCACTAGACCGTCTTTGAGTTACCACCTCTTGCATGATATTATTACGGTTCATAAATTCATATCAGCAAATTGAATAGAATAGACATCGAATAGATGCAGGTAGTTTTCTTCTGAGGTCCTTCCATTTTTTAAGCCCTAGTTTGTGGATGTTTTATGTTGTTTGTATCTTTTTGTTGGGCCTTGCGGTTGTTGAATCACTTGTAGACTAGGCCCCACAAGCTGGTGGACTGTATGCGCAAGACAGTCCTTGCAACAAAAGGCGGAATGTCACTCATTTGAGAAGAATCGAAGCACTTGAGACCCTGCAATCCTAAGCAATACTGGGCTGCATGCAGATTTACATGTAAAAACATGTAACGCACGTCATTGGAAACATTGAATTCTATTTGATGACTGAGGACAATGCAGACATCCCGAGCTGGATACCAGGCTGTCCAGGCATCGACCAAGGTACGATCTACTTTACCTACGCCAAGGCTCATATGCATCACTGTCATACTATGTCAGTCATTACAAGTCCATGTAAGTCCCATGACTGTTGCCTTGTTTGACAATGTTTGGTTTGGGAGAATTGTTCTCTTCATGACTTTGAGTCCTGCGAGGACTTATGTGAAGTTGTCCTTCTGCTGTTGTTTGGCTGGTTCCTCGAGCAGAAAGCACAGACTGGCACGAATACAAATGACCCCTCCAAGCCTCCAAGCAAGTACACACGGAGATTGAAAGTGGTCTGAAAACGAGCAAATGTTGATGGATGTTGATGGCCTCTCGGGCCCCTGCAAGTTTTATGGGAACGGGAAGTTTATGCGTGTTTCTGGGGATCTTATGCGATTGATTCTGAAACAGGTTGGAACAGTCGCAGCAGCTTTCAAAGTGGATGCTGGGCCCCTGAAATTTCGTAAGGTCTATGCAGCAATTGGAATTGGTTCAAGGGGTCAGTGACTGCCATTGGTTGCCCAGGTTCTACAAACGGCGCATCACATCAAAGCGACCTGCACTGCCAATGAATGATGGAGCAGAAGACTTTAGAACTGGTGTGTTCTCTTGCTGCTGCTTAGCTCTATTTGGAGGGCTATTGTTTGTTTATTTTTTTTGTTTTTTTTGGGATTGTTTTTTGTTTTCCAGCCTGGCTTTGTGGCTTTTGTGGTTTCTGTGGCTTTTGTGGCTTTACCATGCTTTACCTATCTATCTATCTATCTACCTATCTAACTATCTATCTAATCTAACCTAAACTTATCTTATCTTATCTATCTAATCTATCTAATCTATCTATACTACCAACCCTAAATAAACCCTAAACCAACCCTAAATAACACTGAATAAACCCTAAACCAACACTAAATAAACATTAAATAAACCTAGACCAACCCTAAATAATCCCTAAAGCAATCCTAAATAAACCCTAAACCAACCCTAAATAAACCCTAAATAAAGCCTAAATCAACCCTAAACCAAACCTAAATGACCCTAAACCAACCATAAACCAACCCTAAATACATCTAAGCCAACCCTAAATAACCCTAAATAAACCCGAAACCAACCCTAAATAAATCCTAAACCAACCCTAAATAACCCTAAATAAACCCTGAACTTCACCAACGTCAAATAAACCCTAAATAAACCCTAAACCATCCCTAAATAACTCTGGATAAACCCTAAACCAACACTAAATAAACCCTAAACCAGCCCTAAGTAAACTCTAAACCAACCAACACTATGATAGCATCCAATGCCACTATTTGGACCCAACACGGTTGTGCTTCAACAATCGATGAACAGTGCAAATGGCAAATTTTAGCAAAGTACAGGCTTTTGCTCCAAAATGTAGCAAATAGATGCAAATAGCAAGGACAAGTGCCCCATGGAAAAACAAAACAAAAAAAAACTGCACCCGCTCTATTTTGTGCTGCCATGGTCATGAATGCATCTTCTTTTTGTGATCAAGTTGATCAAGAGCCACAGTCACTCAAGATGAATCTAAGAGAGAACAGTCCAAAATCATCAGCTTTTGGTGATCCCCATGTTGTTTCATCAATTTGTTTGCCTTGATTGGTTAAGTTGACATTCAAGTTCTATTTGGATCTATTTGGAATATTTGGAATGTCCCAGCTTGCACGGAAGTGGAGCGAGGAACATCTACATGCGTTTGTAGCACCAAGTTCTCAGTGGAGCACAATTGAGATTGAACTTTGAGAATATATCGAGTTCAAAATGCCTGGACACCAGCACTTTGGGATTTCCAGAGTCTACATCTGCGGCTTCCACTCACCATGGATATAGCAGGGTAATTATACAGGTCAATGCATTCAATGCATAGCAAATGGAAAAGATGCAAAAACAGTTAAGCAGTCTAAGCCTAGTCTAAGCAGACATTAGGAGCAATGATGCGTATGTTGCGTTCAAAATTGTGGGATCAGTCGGATCAATATAAGATGTTGGCATGCAGGTGGTTTCTGCCAGGAAACAGTTTGAGATACTGCACCCCACACGTCTTACAGTTAGATCATGTTAGATCGCGTTGCCAAACAATTCAATTGGACATATTTCTTTTCTTATCTTTTCTTCATTTGGGCGCAAGCAGTTGACAGTTGCAATCAAGAGAATCCTTCAGCTACAACTGCGCAAGCACCAAATAAATATGATGCAAAAATAGGTGAGTAAACAAGGGCAAAATGCCCTTTTAAGGATCAGCAGCTGCCTGTCTTAACGTCCAGTTCCCTTTACTTTGCTGCAAGACTTCGTGACACCAATCGAAGTGGCAGTTCTATGGGGCCTCAAGTTAGGTTTTTCAAGCTAGTTAGTCGCATATTTTTTTGACAGGACTACAATGGAGCGTCATAAACAGGTCTACTGTATCTTGTGTATGTCTATTCCAGACCTGTCAAGTGCGTACTCCGTGTCTGTGAGTTTTTGAGGCATGCAAGAAAGAGGATGCAACTGCTTCTGGGCCTTCTTCATGCAACAAGTTCGCATGGGAGATACTTTTCAGGCGTTTTGTCTTGGCGCGCAGTTTCAATTTGGAACTCCACACCTATTTGAAACTCGTATTTGATAGTATTTGAATTCCTGTCTGAAGTCGGGCTATGACAGCTGTGAGAGCTTCTACACGCTTCCCTGTTCCTAGTGATGCAGTATTCCGGACAAAACCTTTATCCCTTGCCCGGAATCCTTTAGGAGACAAGAAAATATGTAGCATTAAAAGGGATTGACACGGGTTCATTGTTTTGAGGCTATGCGGTGAGAAAGCTTTGTCGACACATATCACAGCTGTTGAATTCTTTGTCTTGTCTATAGATCCCCTTCTGATGATGATAACAATTCAAAGAATAATGACCCAATGGTCTTCTGGATGTCTTTTGTGTTTTCACAAGAGTTGGCTTCAGTACATTTGGTCATGCTTCTACAGGCATGCAGCACATTGTATTGGAGAACAACCTAGAGAGTCTCTCTGTTCCCGCGTAGACTAAATCCCTGAAATGATCTTGGGTGAAGGGTAGCTTTTGCAGCTGACGTTCCGGTCATTGCTCCTTCATGTCTCTCATGATACGCAGTCACCTGAAACATAGAACAGCCCCAGGTCTGGTGTACTTCAAACATCTTCAAACAGCATCAAACAGCTAACTGCAGGGGTGGTCCGGAGATGTCCAGATGGTTCCGATATTTCGATTCAGTTCAATTCTGCCTTGCGCGTGCCAGGCCTCTGGTGTGACGAGTTTCTGGGCACCGACTGCAGTTTTTGTCGCATCCAGAATCATTGCCAACCTCATGGGTCTGGTACCAGGACTTTGCGCTGCAGTTTTGAGGGTTGTGTTGATATTTGCTGACCACATCTTGCGTTTGTATGTATGTTATGTCTATACATACATGTCATGTACTTGCATGTTTTATTCACACATAAAGGTGCTTACAAGTGTGTATGGAAGTGTTTTGCACCTACTCAATACCAGTACCATACAAACATATACAAACTACTTAAGAGCTTGCTAGATGAATCCAAGCGTGCCTGGTCCTTTTACTTCCAGGGCAGTTCAGCAATCAAGAGTCAGGGGCCATGTTTAAATTGGCGCAGGCATGCCAGCTGGACTTCCGACGACGTCCATGTTTTTCTTCCAGGCGGTATTCTATGATTCTTGGACAACACTTATAGAATAAATTTTGAGTCTTGTCTTCTGTTTCGCGCTTCACTGACACGTTCAAAATTGAAATATATTGAAATGATTGGCTGTAGGCACTGGGGGGAATGTGCAGTGGCTGAGCAAGATGTTTATCATTGTCAATTTGTCAATCATTGTTTATCCATGTCCATCCCTTGGAATGGGGTGAAGGATCCAACTGACATTATGGTTTCGCAATGTTTCGCATAAAAGTTCATAAAAGCATAGCTTTGTAGGATTGCAAATCTAAAATACCGCAAAACTATACCGCCAAACTTATCAAAACTTGCCTTTTTTGTTGTTTGGACTCCAAATTAGACTGGCCACGAGTCAATCGAGACGAAGAGGCCCGCTGGCGGAATGCTTTGCGAAGGGAGCTCTCTCTTCCCCGGAATGATTGCGGTGATTTCTGCCTCTATAGCCTGTGTGCACCATGCTTGGCCGCACAGGACTTATGCACCTTTTTGTTAGAGAGCGGGTTCCCGTTGTGATTGTTTGTGGATCAGTATGTGTTTGTGTCTGTGTGTGTGTCAGGCAGTGCCTCAGCCAGTAGCATGCCACACTTGTATTATGTTGCAGTGTTTGCTTGTGGTCAGATACTTTCCAAGCAAACAATCACAATGTAATAAGCCAACTGAAACAGAAGACGTGCACACATGAGCTGAAATGTCAACGCTGAGAGCGTTGTGTTGAAAACCAAGTTGTCGTGTGACGTAACGTTTATCAAGATTCAAGCTGACCCTGCTTTTTTTCACCCTTCGCGTCAGATTTCATTTGTACTTGTTCAATCTTTTTCATGCACTTTCCTTCCACGTCTTTCCGCTTTGGATCGACCGAATAAACGATGGTATGTGATGATGTTTGTGTGTGTGATTGCGTGTGTGTTGTCTCAGTCGGGTGGCCCCTGGGGGTAGACCCAGCAAACTTCATTTCCAACGAGTTTGCTTCTCATCCTTGTTTTCTAACATTTTTCCATTCACTTGTGAATACCTGTGACGGTGTCAGATGGATGTCTCTCTCAATGTGACCCTACTGTATCAAGTAAACATAACTAAACTACAGTCCATGAAGAAGATTGAAGAAACAAATCGGGTAAACAGAGGACAGACTTGAAGGGCGTCGACGGTATCGACCTATATCAGCCTATATCGACCTCCAGCAAGCCATGGCAAACCTTCAAAAGCAAGTAAATATCAAAGTAAATATTATATAATTATAATATAATATATATATATTATACTATATATTATATTATATTATATATATATATCAAAGTAAATCAGATAAATCAGGTGGAGGTTCAGGAGTTGTGTGCCGCAAAGACCCAGTGATGTGCCGATGCAACCAATAGGAGAAACCGCTGCTTTGCCTAGTCGCGTTCGGCCTGTCAATATAATATTCAACACAGTCCAGTGTAGGACGCAGTAGGATTGAGCAATAGGATACATTGAAACTTAGTTTGCAGTTCAAACCTTTAAATTGGCAAAAACCATTTTGCTTTTCTCTCACATCTACCAACCCACGGTCTCACTTGCAGCTGGGGTTCATGTGCAGTCTTTCAGTCTTTCTTTGAGTCTTCGCAATGAGTATCTTCCGAATTCCCCGACAATGCACGTCAAGGTCATTGGCTTGCCGGGCAAAATATAATATGGGCAGGGTATGAAATGAAACATTGATTTCAAGTGAGTTTATATAAGAGCATATAAGATCATATAAGATATTTTAAGATGTTACGAACCTTTTTATTAGGACACGGTGAAAATCTACAAAGCCGGACCAAGCTGCGCCAAGCTTAGCGATCACTTTTGTTCGCTCCAGGAGGCCAACGAGATCGATAGACTGAGTGGGGTCTACGTCGGCTGTTTCAAAATTGAAATTGTGGGGCAGCCGCTCATAGCAAGGTGAATAGCAAGGTGATCAGCAGTTCAGAATCGGTTGAAAGGTGATGGAAATTGTTCGATCCTCGGTTTAGGCTCGTGCCTGAGCGAAAGCCAATCTCCCCAGAAAATATCCCCGGAGAGTGATTTCAGATTATGGAAGCACTGATTGCAACCAAGTTGAAACTCACAGAGATTCGCCAGGTGCAACTCGTAGCAACACATGGCCAGTCAGTCGCTGCCAAAGACAACAGCAAGCTGGGTTTTCACCTGCTAGCGTTCCGAAAGTGCATTGTGACAAAACCATCCAGGGTCAGTTGCGGCACTTGGATGGTTCACTTTCATTTTTGCACCCCAGCAATATTCCGCAATTCCATGTCACTCTGGATAAAGCCCCGGGACTGGTGTCCTTGCTATGATACAATAGGACACGATGCAATGAGACAGCTCTTCAGATTTCTTCACAGCCGCCAGATCTCACAAGCTTCGTGACAGGCTAAAACCTCCAGCTTGCACAGTGCGCATAGTGCGCAAGAAGGCATGCGCATTGTAGTGGCAGTTGCAGGAGACTGTGTGTGTCATGTGTGTCTATTAAAAAGTGTTATGTTTCTTTTTTTGTTTCTGATACACTGGCATACACTGGCACCAACGGAAGTCCACCAGGTAACCAGGTACGATAAGATACGATTGATATCGATTGACATGCTCCAAGATTAGCCGGGAGAATCGAAGCGCTGCTAAGTGATGCTTTCTGATTGGTTTCAGGTTTCCTTCTCTCCACTTGTCTAGAGCCGGCCTCTGGACTACAACTGAGGCGCAACACTCTATGCCTTAAGAGCAAGGCGTTTTTATGCAAAAACGATGCGAAACTCCAACATGGCATTGGAATTGAGACTATCTTCAATCACCCTCTCTGCACAAAGTGATAGATTATCTTCCCCTCTGAGCCCACATCTCTATAATAAGAGTCCATTCCTTGTGACTTCTTATAGGCACAGATCAGAGACAGCACCTGAGATGCGCGAGCTTTGGAACTCAGCTGTTGCTTCAGTCGGCATAAGTCGACCGCGCTTGGTGATGCCTTGATTCATATGACTTAGCCAGAATTCGATGTATATGATTCAATTCATATTCAATTCATAATATTGCAATATGAATATAATATATATTATATAATTATATAATTATCTATTCAACTCCATCAGACTCCATCAATACAAGACTGGGTTCAACTGCAAAGTCATCTCAGTCAAGGTCATCTGGCAGCGAGCCAGTTCAGTCCTGGGCAGACACCGACCTGTGCCCTGACATGTCTGGACAGAGCCTCCTTGGGGGAACTAATGCATGTTAATACCATGTGTTCCCTTTTAATTATTCCTTTTGCTTCCTTTTATTCCCTTTTCACCTTAGTAAGTCCCAGGTGGCTTCTCAGGCAAACAGGTAGAAGCCCTCGTCGTGTTGGTGTGTCCGCTGTACAGTGATTGCAGTCTTTGAATGAGTGTATGAGTTGTGCAAGCTTGGAATCTATAGAATGCTGGGAGCAGCCAGTGGGGCAAAGCGAAACCATTCCAAAAAAGCATCTCAATAATAACCAATATAGCAGACATGTAGACTGGTTTTGACACACTTATATTATATTTACAGACTTTAGAAAGAGAACTTCTCAAACATGTCTTCTGACATGGTACTTGTGTAGGAATAAATTTTCAAGAGCCTAAGCAGGCGTTAAGACGCAGTGCGAACCTGTAATGTATATGGAAATACAATATACTAATACTACTATATTATATTTAATATGTGTAATATATATAATATAATATGATATGATATGATATGATATTGATTATATTATATTATATTAAATCATATCATATAATATAGAATAATATAGATATGTATATTTATAGTACAGGATATATATAGAGAGAGAGAGTGTGTAGAGTGTGTATATAAATATATTTTGTCTATATAGATATTCTCTGGGCTGCACATGGCTGCGCTATTTACACCTCGCAGAGATTGCAAGCTGAGACCTTTTCTTACTCCACCAATGTTTGTCCAAGGTACACATCACTTCGCTCCTGGGTCCGACAGGTACAACCAGCGCCAGGTGCTTGGATCACTCGGCAAGTTTCGCAATGCACCCCACTCTCGCAGAATGTTCACACGCTCCAAAGACACAGACATGTCCTGGCTACTTTAATTGCCATTCCTCAACTCTTTATGAATCCCTAGGTGATTGGCAGCAATTCTCCCGTATTGATGGATCTGGTTTATGATGACTGTCCTATATAGTACTCCTGACTGTTAGATATTTGATACCGTACACTTTTCAGCAGCACAGCAAAGGTTTAACAGCAGATTTCTACTAGATAGTTGCCTGCGATTGTAGATGCAACTAGATTAAAATGAAACAATCAAGCTCGTCATTGTCAGAAGCACATCTCTTCCCTCCTTGATCTTGCTTGCTCTTTCACAAGAGGCTTTTTCCTTCCAGTTCCAAACAACACTATGTACGCATGGAGTTCTAGTTTGAGGGTTCCATCACATTGTGCTGGACATCGCTTCTACTTCTATCTTCTACTCCATGTTTCCATGTGTATGCTTTTGGACGCTCAGTCAATAAGGCACGAGTTTGGCAAGGAGACTGCAGCCAGGGATTAGCACAGATCCAACACAAGACCTGTCCGGTTGTCATCGGTTGTCTATGTAATCAATATGTAATCTATGTACGGGTTGATCGGTTGGAATTTGGGCCAATTGTCCTGGAATCGTGCGAACTGTATGCCTTCCACTTTAGGGATCTCTGGGGTATACGGATATTACGGACGTATACGGATGTATACGGTATATTTATAGCATGTTGATGTATGTTGTAGTAAGCTGCAAACGCTTTGTGAAGTAGTAGCCGGATGTAGACAGTATTGAAAGTTGAGGCATCAGTATATCAGTAACGCTCGCCGGAAATTGAGAGGATTTGGATGAGGTTCTGGGAGTGAAGGCGTTGGGATTGGGAAACGAGCTGAATCGAGTGCATTAATGTCATTAAATGTCATTAATCATAGTTGAATTGCGGTTGAATTGCGGTTGAATTGCGGTTGAATTGCGGTTGAATTGCGGTTGAATGCGGTTGAATGCGGTTGAATGCGGTTGAATGCGGTTGATGTGTATTGCTCAAATTTGCTCCACAATCCAACGGTAGAAATAGCGTGTGTCCTTGTCATTCAAAAAAGTCATCAGTACCAACGTATCCTAAATCCCATCTCCTGGGATTATGTCGGAACACGCTAACGGATAGAGATTGGGACACGGATATGAACACTATGAACCTTCTATCCATTACTTGTAGAACATTAAGTTGTTCAATCGGAATCGAAGGATCACATCGCAGCCTGTCATCAGAATTTTCTCTCTTCATAGATCAAAGACAAGGTGATGATATATATGATGGATTATGATGGCATTCATGGATGTCCAAACTGTAATTAGGTGGAGTTCCGCCAATTGCCGCACACTTTGCATTTGTGTTGTAGGATTGCCGTATAATAAGTCTTATGTGACAACTTGTGACAACTTATGTGTTTTGTTGCGTTTTTCCACTGTGGTCCAGGCTACAGATGCTGAAATCAGAACCAGGTCGCTCCAGCGCGCTCTGCGGGTTTAATGATGTCTAATGCCTATTAATGTGTCCTATGTTCATTGCGAATTTGAATTTGCCACCAAGGGACTACTTGGGCAGGGTTAATGATGTTAATGGAGAAATTGTGGGAAATGTATGGGAATGTAGTAACAAAATGTAACAAAATGTAACAAAGTCACTGCAGATCGTTGTCAAAAAAGAAGTCCCTGTGCACATCTGCAGCGATCTGTCCTTTCCTTTGCACATCGAGGTGCAGGACCTCCTCGGTGGATATCTCAACTGGCTCACCACCACAGGAGGGGCTGCTTTTTTCAAGCTGTGAGAGCGGTCCCATTTTGCAAAAATTGAATGACTGATTGTATACCGATTGTATACCGATTGTATACCGATTGTATACCGATTGTAGTGAGCACATGTGAGCACTGCAGATATAATACTTTGGAACATTTTGGAACCACCAGGAAGATCCAGGAAGAATTGGCAAGAATTCGCAGTCAACCAAGATTCCAAATTCCACTGCAGAACTGCGACATCAAGCTAGTGTACAATGATAGTTTGATATAGTTTGTATTAGTTTGTACTTTCAAATTTGATCAAATTCACATGCACCGCCAGAGCCTCTCCGGATCCTCGGAATCGTCGCATCCGAACTGGGACTGTGTGGAACTGAGACGATTCAAATTATTCAAGCCAATTCAAGCACATGTTCATCATGTTCTAGGAGAATGCTTGTACTCGTAGAACTCGTGGGACTCCTAGAAGTTTCTAATGATCTTGTGCTAGACTGTTGCCTGCGTGCTTATGACTGGCTTTGAAGTTTGAGGTTTGGAGGTTGTACAATTTATAGACTGGACAATTTTTGACGCAAGGGCTAGAGGATATTGGAGGGAATGGGTTTATGATGCAGGGGGCACCTATATCTTGGTTGTTGCCACTGACACGTAATTCCACAGCTACACTGCTACCGCATGCAGCGTCGATGTTCAACAAGTTGGGACAGGCCTAGAGAGGTGAAAGATTTGTGTGAGAGTTTGTGTTTCCAAGTTTGGCTTGGAGGTACATAGCACCTTTCACTTCTGACATCTTCTGACCAAATGTTCAACATTATTCAACCAAGGCCTGCTACTATGTATACTGTATACAGCCACTCAGTGGATTCAAGATGTCATACATACAGATGTTGCATGTATCTTATATTCTCAAAAGAAAGCACAAAGAACATGTCTTGTTGTTTCCCTTATTTTGTTGTGCTTGTGTTTTTGTTTTTTGTCCTTTTGTTGAGAATGGACCGATAGTTGATATTACTCAAATGCTTGACGACCCTTTAGGGCTTGAAAAGAGTGAGGCACTGATGCTGATGCCTCCACAGACATGGAGGTGCTGCGTTTTGTCACGTCCACTCAATTTGGGAGTCAAGAACCTTTGGACCCTCCTGATGCCAGTTAAGATGTGATTTGCGATAGTGTGCACTTTTGTGCCACATTGGCAAAAACACTGCCACTTACTGTATATACTTAAATCAGGTTTACTGTAAAGTTTACTTGTTAAATCAAATTTGCCACCTATGTCATGATTTGTACGGTTCTGAGCAGCTATCCCCGGCGGGGCTAGACATGATCCTCTGTCAAAACTGTAGTGTTGGTTTCATTTGTTTGTCTCAAACTGCACAAGGTTTGCTGTATGCGTTGGCTGCGCTTGCCTTTTGTCACTGCTATGATAATGCGACCATTTTGATTTGCAGGCGGTTTCAATATGTATGTTTCAATGATTGGAACCCAAGTGAAGTGGCTGCTTATTCCATAGTCAAATCACAGCCAGCAACAACTTGGTAGGGAGAAGCTCGGTGTTTGCCAATGGCAGAATCAATTCACGTTGGAGGCGTGAAATGGCATGGGGGGAGCTCAAGAGCTGCAATGAGCGGAACAAAATGCGACTCTTGACTGGAGCGCTCAATACAGCAGGTACTGTACTGTGTATTAATATACGCCTGTGTAGTAATGATTAGTAATGTATTGACTATACACAGAATCCTTTTTTAACCATATACATGTATATATATATATACTGTACAAATATATATATTACAGTATATTCCACATATTTAGATATCTATGTACAAGTGCAAGCGTACATATAGAATAGATTGATGACTGATACATAAACACGTGTGCGGGTGTGTGTCGGGCGTGTCTGGGCGGTTTCATGATTTTTGTTTCCAGCACCACCCTGCACGTCGGGTGCCATCCCTGAAGCTTGGCTCCTGGCGAACAGCTCATACCGCAGCTGGTGGGGAGGTTTGGCATGGCTATTTGCTCCTGACTGATGCTTGTCGCATCCTGTCGTTGCGACTGCAGGCTACGGAATGATGGCTCCCGCTACAAAGGCGAGGGTGAGGAGCTTTGACCTGCAAAGAGAGACATCTCTGCTATGAAGTGACAAGTTATCTTGTTGGCCTAGTATGCAATTACACTACACATATGTAACAATGTATGGCGACATAATGCGACATGTATGTATATACATTACATTACACTTCATTACACTACACTACACTACACTACATTACATTACATTACATTACATTACATGCATACATACATATACCGTGACATATATATATATGCACATACATATACCGTGTATATATATACATATACCGTGTGTATATATGTATATACGTAGTACATATGCACATGTTCAATGCTTCAAATGTGAAGAAGTTGTTAGTTGGCGGAAAAAGGTTCACAGAAGAGCCTTTGGATAATCAGTATTGGGGTAATTTGTTTTTGTTACAAGAGCATTGGAGCATATTGGAGTGGGCGGGCGATAAGTCGTGTTTGATCCCAATCTGGAACTGCAGAGCTCAGGTCTTCAGGTAACTTTCAGGCGTGTGAGTACGCAGAGTTTTGCAGGGATCGTCCACATGCAGAATCGGACTGGTGAAAGAATCTGATACAAGAGGCGCAAATGACCCAAATGTCCAGCATCATTCGGCGTTGGCATAGTGTAGATCCTTGCATGCTTGGACCACCAGTGTCCACACTATCTTGACCTGCTTAGCATCTCCATTTTGCTTAGGCTTAAGCAACAATCAGCCAATGCTTTCCACTATATCCCGCGATCCATTGGTTGACCCAAAGGAGCAGGACAAGAAAGCTGAGAACGGCCTGTAGCCACTTGGATCGGGTCCTCGAAGAGGACATCCATGATTTCCAACTTGGCATCTCATTTCAGAGATAGCGCAAGCAGATTTTTTTTCCAACGAATTGGGAGCCTGCGTCGTCTTGCTTCGCTTTGGGACTTGACCTTGCAACATCCGTAATCATTTCAGAAGAAACGTTTCAAGCACAGAAGAACCCTTGAATCAATTTGAATCGCAGTTTCTGTTGCTTTGTGGCTTTGTGTGTAAGACCAAGAGACACTGCTACATATGTGTGTGCGCGTGTGGGCAAGTGGAGACAATCACAGGGCTCTGCCGCAGCACATTCCTGCAGCAAGAGGGTTGTTTGCAGAGAAGCAACTAGACTAGCTTACAGTACCCATTGACACACCGAGTGTACTACAGCTTTGTGCAGCATGTTGGTCTTTGATTCCACGTTGACACTGATAGTCGATGAATGATGATAAATATTATAAAATGTCTTGTTGATACTCTAACATATTGATGCAAATTGTGGACGTCAAGGAGAAAATGTGCCATTCTTATCGAGTAGTGATCGAGTAGTGAACCTGACGGAATTCTGGTGCAGCATGAAAATATCCAAGCATGCTCCTGATATCTCCTGATCCAGGCTCTTCCTGTGTAAAAAGTGAAGTTACTGCACCAGGATTTCTGATAGATTTCAAGAGTCTTATGGGCAGACGGGACTTGCAATGGTGCTTCAACCAAACAACAAGCGTCGTTTGCGTAGGACATCAGGCAGAGAGGAAAATATTCAGTGAGATAGACAAGATATTGACAAAACAGATCTTGAGAAAGATGTGTGTGTGATTTCTTTTTGAAGGTGTGTACGCCTCAAAGCAGATTCTAAACTCTGCAGGACATATTATGATAGTGATGATAGTGCGTGTATATATATATGTGTGTGTGTGGAAGTGTAACAGGAAAAGCGCTGGGAACACAATTGAGTGTTGAGGCTTTTGGGAAGAAACAAACTTCAAACGTAGTTTTGGGATGTTTGGGGATTTTTCTACGATATTGTTCGACGTGCATTTGAAAGACCACTGGAAAAAACAGGACTGGCTTGCAGAGGAACCCTTTGAAGTCTTTGAAGCACACCTGGACACCAGCAGTTTGAACCACACTGAATCAAAACAGGAGTGACCATGTTGAGCAGGTACATATGCTGAAAATATTGGACTCCAATATTTTACAATCTATTTGATATTATTTTACGATGTTTGTTTGCCCCACGAAGAAGGTGACAACACAAGAGACGGCACATGTTCAACTTGTTTCCGATTTGTCTGCGCGTGGTCTTGTCACCTGTGCAATTTGTGAAGGAAAAAAAATATTGGCCACATATACGCCACGTGCCATGCTTTCAATCCTTTTGCTAGGTCTAACGTAAGAAACTGTTCCTAAAGCAATGTGCTGAGCCCTTATCATCGGGTAAAACTGTTGTGTGTGTGTGATGCTCTCTTTCGCCACATGCGTAGCAATTGGATCACGCACAAAGATGATGGTTGTTGCCGTATGCAGTTGCTTTATGACAGCATTGTTCAATTTGTGACCCATTCTACTCTGCTAGGGTGTATTTTTTTGTAGAATTTTCATCAAAGTTCTGCCTTTGACTTTGCCTCACCTTTCACAGCTTAGAAGCAAACCCACTCAAGCAAGTCTCTCAATCATTCATGGTCTGCCCACTTACTTTGATTTGAAACTACTCAGCTCAGCTCCACATTAGGCCTATCCCAACTTCCCATTCAAGGCCAGTTGCAGGGGTGTAAATGAGGGCTGTAAAGGCACTCCGGGTATTTATTCTGTAAGTTTGCTGAACGATGGGCATTCGTAAAAACCCGTGACTTTGCATTTTGACGCACTTGAAGTTTTACCTTGACGGACCTTGAGAATAGTGATATGGAACGTAGAATCATGTCCTTAGAGGCAACTCGAGCAGCTCCGATAGAGATCGATAGAGCCTACAAGAAGTTCGGTAGTTGCCGTCCTGCAGTCCCGATTTCAACGCTAGCCTTTCGAAATCAACAAACACGCACAAATACTTTATTGATGTTCATTGACTTTTATATATAGATAATGATCTTTATGTCATTTGAGTATATACTCTGTGACTCTATTTGACATCCAAGGATCAAGCGGATCAAGGTATCGGAATTTTGGTGTCAAACAATTTGTTGGCAATCACCGGTGCCAAGATTCATCGCCGGTCGCTGAATTTGAAAGGCTGCAGAATTCGACCCCAAAGACGGCCATTGCATTTCATGGCCACTTTTTGGACAGATTTGCAAGGTTTTGTCTCGCAAAATGTGTGCGTTGCATTCGCGGCCAGTCCATTTCTGAATGTTTTGGAAGCATTTGAAAGCGACGACATGCAAAGTGGCATAAAGTGGTTACACCTTGATGAACTTCTATTGTAATTTTTGTAGCATCTCACCTGTTCACTCTCGCTGGATGGCTTGAAGCAGACGCTTCGGACCAAGGGCTTGGCAGGCGCCGCATCCGGCACACTGAAAAATATACTAAGAAACGTCAAGAAAAACAATGGAATACCATGGAATAACAATCTTCAATGAAACTCGCGCACAATTCATATCAGTTCATATTAAAGCTCTGAAATTGTACGTGCTGCTTGATTCTGTGTGATGAGCCCAATCCCAAAGAATGACAGTTGATTGTCTCAGGTAGAGTATTCGCATTTGAGAATGTCAAAGTGTTAGTGATAGAATTGCTCCTCACATGGAAGATCACAATGCACATGTCCGAATATGTCCGAAGTATGTCCGAAGATGTCCGAAGTATGTCCGAAGTATTCCAATATACGCAGCATCACTCTACAATCTCTACACTTGGCATCACCACGGGCGAGGCCTGGCTCCCACACTCCGCGGTCTTTCAACTTCAGCGGAACCGGGATACAGTGAGGCTGTGGAGCAGCAAAGAGGATTTGTTCCTTTGAAATCTCGCATCTGCAATGCATCTGCTATATTCATCCATATTCATATTCCACAATACTGGTAGGGATGTGTAGGGAATTGTAGGGATCGTATTATTTAGATCATGTTAGGTGTTTGCTTTGGATCCGAGGGTCACCTAGTGTCACATAATAGGGTAATTGTGTTCGTTTTGGACTGATGCATCGCTCTTTGGCACTGGCATGCACTGGCCACTTTTGAATCGGGACCCAAAGGTTTCTGGGATTCTGCTAGGCCAACGTGGCACATTTTTGAAGAATGGACAACACCATTGAGCCCACCTGTTAGAGAGCGATGTACATCGATATACTTTTTGCTTGCACAGGCTAAATGTCGCTTACTGCCCCTTGGATGTTTGCTGCTCAGTTGGGAGTTGGGGTTGCTTTCACGTCCTTGTTGGACACTTGCATGGCTGAGCACTGGAACAGCTTGCATTTCTCCTAAAGTCTTTCGCACAATCTTCTTCACTGGATTTACTGCGCATACGTTTACAAGTTTACAATCACATACAATGTTTCATGTACATAGTGCCACCCGCTTTGAAACCGAGATTCCACGGCCCAACAGCAGTACTTCCCGCACGCAGAGCTGTCCAAAGTGCAGCCTCAGGCACAGAATGGACATGCATCCGCCAACAGTTATATTATGTTATATTATGTGTTTTGTTATTCTACATAGATTTGGAATGAGGTCTTAACCCCCAGCGGTGGAGTTGCAAAGCAATGCTTTTGCATTGGGTCCGCTTTTTCGTCTTTTGGCACTTTTTAGCATCCTTTCGCGTCTTGCAGTGCGATCCTTTCCTTCGCCCTGCCTTGGAGTGACGGTCGCTGTTTGCGCTTCAGCCCGTCTCTCAGATTCAAAGCAGCATGGCACTAAGACTGCGTTGATAACTCGATACGGCAACTCTTCACCGTGAATAAAGCAGCCAAAAAGATCCAAAAAGCATGTGTATACTAGAAAGTGCGTATCAGGAGTGTGGTTAAAGCTGAGGTCCTGCCAGCGCGGACAAGAGCTCGAAATGCGAAAGGACCTGATGCAAAAACTGTCATTATGACGTCAACATGGCGAAAAGGCTTTCAATATCGTGCTGTCGCATGTCCCAGACCATTTCCTGTTGATTAATTATGTCTAAAGGTTGAACTTCCTCTATATACCTAGATCTTCCAAAAGGCTGTTATTTCAGCCTGCGATAAAAGGTCAGCCTTTTCTTCGTTCGGGCTGATATTTCAGCCTGCGGGCTGAAAACCCAATTCGGGCGAAAATCTCCAATGAACAAACAGTGTATCAACATCTATGATAATCTTCTCTACTGGCACCGTCCTTTGCTTTTTACCTCAGCCAGCTAGTGATCTGTGCTGGCTGCAGAAAATTTGGTTGACGGCTTCTAACACGTTTTTTTGGCAATTTTGTTGATTTTGCCTCGGGCGAAATTAGGCATCAAAAAGGCAAAATCTCGCGTCATTCAGGCGAAAAAAAGCGAAACACTAATTCCACATAGCCTGGAACATCATTGTTTCCCATTTGTGATCCACCTAATTTGAATATATGTTGCTCATCTCTATGACAGTCCAACGATTGATTATCAATCCACTCTAAACATCTATCCTGCTGAATAGGTCCAAAATAGCCAAAATCCATGCGGGCGAAAATTTGAGGCTTACAGGATTCGGGATGAAATTTCAGCCTGAAAGGATTCGGGCTGGATTTTCAGCCTGCGGAAGATCCAGGTATGGGCATTAAGGATCATTGAGGTGTATAAGGCTTGGGAATGTTGTTGAATATAGCAGGCATGATATCTGATTTGATCAGATGTGTAGGAATGTGAGACATTTTTCGCACATTCAACCCTGACACGTAGAGGTGAGGTGACATGTTATGTGACTATCTGCAACATGTAAAGGTGGAGTTCGGTAAAAGTATTTCCTACAAAGAATCGACAGCATGCAAAGATATTTTGATGATGTGTTATTCATGTTGATTTCCATACAATGTGTATGTGTCTGATTGTGTCTGTATATATAATATTATAGCTATCCTAGGCACCCCGCCACCCTGATTCTGCACCTGGGAGCTATGTTTGAGTTGGCTTTCACTTGCATTGTTGTCTAACGTCTATTGATCCAATCTGAAACGGGTGTTTGTTTGTACACGTTGTTTTCCTTTTCACTTCCGCATGTTCCACTTAATGACACAACACCTCCCCACCCCCAGCGTGCCTGATTTCAATTAATTTGACATCAACACAATGGATAATCATGGATGAACATGTTCGCTGGACCCTGACGATTACGTGAAATGCATTCTGTAGACCGCCTGGATACTGCAGGAGGTGTTGGTTCCCCTGGGACTAAAACCCTAAACCCAAGCCCAAAACCTAAACAGAAAAAGACAAGAACGCAGTGTCTTGCGAAGAAAACCAGCCTCGTTGCCACATCCGGGTTGGGGCGAACTTGACGTCACAAGATCGATTGAAAAAAGCATGAAAAAGGAAACCCAGACTCAAAACATGCTCTGGCCATGCACTTCAAAACATCACAACGTCCCAGCCCTTGCTTTGCGGGCACCGCGCAGGATTTCTGAAGCATCTTAAGCCGTTTGGATGGTTTGTTTCCTAGATGTTTCATGTTGTTTCCAGTGTCCCCACCGCTTCTGAAATTGAGAGTGTTTGCAAGGAAATTGATTTGAAGATGCAAAGTATGGTCCCCACGGCATCACATGTTTCGCACATTCCTTGACTATGTTTCGAACATGTTCGAACAGCTAGTGGTACCATGGGTATATGTTTGCAATTGTTTGCATGTAGATACCTGGATGGACGGATCGGTGGATGTGTGGATGGATGGATGAATTGATGGATGGATGGACGGATGGACGGGTCGATGGATTAGTACATGCATAGATAGGATTAGATAGGTAGGTAAACAGGCAGGTATGTAGGTTGATTAGATTTGGATCCATTAGATTTGCGGCAATTGTATGTGACTAAATTAGAGAAGATTATATAGTTAATTATGTATTATAAGTTATCATAGATTACATATACTATCATATACTATATCTATAGATATCTATAGATCAGATTTGATTGATTAGATGGACACATTCATGTGTGCGCGTGTTTGTGGTGTCAGTCCCAATGCAATCACCCTATGTAGTAGTGTTTGCATGAGCTTATGAGCTTTCAATGCATGATTCTGATAGGCTTTTTACTATTGTGTGGTGTGGTGTGTTCTGGGGAGGTGATCCAATGTGTTTTGGGGTCTATGTAGGTGTACAATGGTGTACATGGTTATACATACATATAATGAGACGAACGTACTGTGCATGTGTTGCATTCGACGTATGTACTGGATTTTACGTGATGCAGTGGAGTGTAATGTAAGCGTCATGGAAGGTGATGGGAGGCCAGCGTGCAACACAGGGAAATGCACCACCTAGCAAAAGAATGCAAGGTTGGGTCTGCGCAATGCATCATTGTTTCCAAGCTGAGTGGCATGATATTGTAGGACAAGATATTTACTCTCTGTGTGTGTGTGCACAAATGTATCCAGCTTGAACAAGGCATACATGTATGTGTAAATGCGCACATGTGCACATGTGTGTATGTATATAATGTGTGTGTACATATATATGGTGATACGCCCCCGTTTCTAAAGACGAACGTGGTGTATGCCTGAATCACTGCAGTTTCGGCTTAAGGGGGGCATGAGTGGTGGAGAACATCCTCTACTTGTCTGCGCGTGTGCGCTTTGCCACACGTGGAGACGAGTGGGGTTTCTCCTGGTGGGCCCCTCTAGATCGGCGGGTTTTCAGCAGGAAGCCCTGCGCCGGATCCGGGAGCTCTACGTGGACCTTCTGGACTTAGCTGAAGGCGTTGTCCCTGCAGCTCCCGTGGCAGAGGGAGCAGCGGGGGACACCTCCCGACCGAGGGAGGATCTTGGGCCCGGGCCGGCTCAAGCCTTGGCTGAGGCGAGCTCTAAGGCACCGCCGCCCCTGCCCCCGGACTCAGCTGGCGTTGCTGTGCCGGTTCAAGAAGGCGCACCAGAGGTTCCTCCAGAAGATAACAAGGGAGCAGCTAAGGTAGAAGAGGAGGAGAAGAAGAGAGAATCCCAAAGTCGCTCCAAAGAAGAAAAGAAGGCCCAGCGTAAGGAGAAGAAAAAGGACAAGAAGAAGAGAGACCGAAGATCAAAGGCCACAGGAGAAAAGAAGCACAAGTCTCACAAGAGCACAGGGACAGACAAGACCAGAGTCAAGGAAGAGGAGGACCAGAAGTCTGCCCTTTCAGAAGAAGAGACCGAGGGTGAGGAGAGCAGCCCGGCGAGGCCTCGGTCAAGCAGACGCCATCGCAGTAGAAGCCCTAAGGAGGAATCAAGAGAGAGGAGAAGCAAGAAAGACCACGGGGACGACGACCGCACCACAAGGTCCCCACGTGAGAAGTCTCCTGAGTGTAGGAGAGAAAGCCGCAGACAATCTCCTGAGAGTGGGAGGAGAAGTCCAAAGAGGAGGACTCCCGAGAGGAGGGGAGTAGCAGAGAGGTCGACCTCGCATCGTGACAGAGAGGAAAAGCGGAGGAGCAAGTCTCCCGAGACGAGGGAGCGTGAGAGGAGTAGACAAGAAAGACGGGAGAAGAGGTCATCTCCTGCTAGACACAGAGACTCCCGAGATAGGGGAGGAGATCATAGAGGACATCTGCCGCCTCCAGAACCCTCGAACCCTCCACGACCTTCAGGTCCCCCTCCAGGAGTGTTTGGGGACCCTTATCCGCAGTGGGGTGGTCGTTGGGAGCAGAGGTCAAAGGGTCAAAAGAGGAGACAAAGAAATTGGGATATCCGGCAACACGGGTTAGACCCTGACCGGAAGAAGGCCAGGGTCGAAAGAGGTGGATGAGCCGGAGGCGTCCTGCTCCTGCAGGTGTGGGGAGTCCAAGGCCAGCGGCTGCCCTGGAAGACCCTCCCGATCGTGGGAGGAGAGTGGAAGACGCGTCCCTCGCCTTTGAGAGAGGGGACGTAGTAAAGTCCCACCAGGTACCTTTGGCACTCTTTGATAGAGGCGTGTGGCTGGTCAGTGAGGAGAGCTCGTACTTTGAAGTGCAGTGCAAGTGGGCAGGCAAAGTCGCGGGGGTGACGCTTGAGGCTGGTGAGGCGGAAGCTCAGGTGGAGCTGACGGGAACGCAAAGCGAAGCCCTTCTCAAGTATGCCTGGGGGCAAAGCCCGCCCCTCGTGCGAGCTCACCTTTGCAAGGAACAGTGCGATCAGAAACGCACACGCCCAGACCTGGTGCACTTGCGCTCCTTCAAGCAGTTGGCTGAGGAGGCGGCCAAAACCTGGGAAACCAATCTGGTTGGGGCGGACGGGAGCGAAGCTTTCAGGCATGCAGAGGCTCAATGGAGAGAGAACGCAGGAGGCCGAGGCGAGCATCGATGGGTGTCATCCGACTCGACAGGCAGTCGAAAAAAGAAGAAGAAGAAAGAGGAGAAGCGGAAGGATGCAAAAAAGGAGAACAAGAAAGCCAACGTCAAGAAGCTGGGCGGCAAGACGGTGGCTCGAAAAAGTCTGACCTACCCTTTTGAGGAGACCGGGCACGGCAAAGGAGGAAGGCAAGAAAAGCTCCTGAGAGTGGGAGCCAGGAGAATGGCGAGCCCGGACATCGCCAAAGAAAAAAGAATGGAGGAGAGGGAGAAAGACTCCCGTGTCAGGAGTGGAGAGAGAGACTCTCCTGTCAAAGGCAGCATTTCTCCAGGGGCTGGTGAGGCAAATGCTGGCTGCGATTTTTCGGTCAACCAAAAGACTTTAGCTGAAAGTCAGGGCAAAGAAAGTGAGAGACCGGTGCGTTTGAAAAGTTCGTTTCACCCAGCGGATGGAGTGGCTGCCACTGCTCCTGCCCGCAACTTTTGTACAGGCGATGAGTTTAGGAAGGACTCGTCGGCAGACACGTCGCACTTCCTAGGCGTGGGCCAGGCTGCGGCGAAAAATGATGAGCAGCAGGAATTTTTGGGAATGGTAGGGTTTGGAGAAGTAGGAACTTGGC